TAACAAAATTATATGCAAATTGAAGGATTTGCGCGCCGTGTGGCATCCCGACGGAAAAATGCATTTCATGCATTTTTAATAATAGCAATGTCGAGAGCGCATTAGTTATTTAAATAAAACCACCGGGCGAAATCGTCTCGCGAGTCGACTCTCCTGCTCCTCCTCCGACACCAACGAGATGATCGCCGACGTATGCCCTCTCGTTGGCTCTCCCTCGTCGGTGCTGTCGAATCGCCGTCGGATTCACTCCGGTTAATGCGAATGTTATGGAACGTATGTCCGCTGATCAAGGTAGGCGGTAAAGGCGCGGCGGAGCGAGCAGCACCCACGGGAGGTAGTGTCCGGGAAGAGAGTGCGGTGAAAACAAGTGGCTGAGAAAAATCAAGAGAGCAGTTCGACAAGCGGCAGAAGAGCCACCGCGGCAATAAAACGCAAGCGGAAGATTGCGGGGTAAAGGCACTCTCTTGAGATTGCTCCGCGCGACCCGATACTGATATCGCGGGCGGGGGGGGGGGGGGCGGGGGAGAAGAAGCACCGACCACCGCGAATAAAGGCTTGCCGCTATCTTGCTATCCGCGAAGATTGCAAAATATGTAGTCTCTCAATTGATTTCCTCTTGCCGCTGGTTACATCGCTTTCGAAGCGCCGATAGAAAACAAGCGAAACCCTTTGGGAATTTCCCAGACGATGGAAAATCGATGTTTGTGTGTGTGTGTGTGTATGTGTGTGTGTTCTGTGCCGCCTCCCCCCTGCCCCCTCTCTATTTCTATCTCTTGTTCATGTCTCTTTTTCTAATAAACTCGCGGTTATTATCGGGTCGATCGAGATTGAGAAAAAGATGTGCGAACGTGCGTGCTTCCTATTCGCGTCGATGCGAGCGTGTTCTTCCTCTCGGTTAGGTCGGGAAAAGTGCCGATATAGAGAGAAAGAGAGTTCATGTGAACACGTGTGCCACGGTGTCTATTCGAAGAAGAGCGCGCACTGCATCGTCGCGGCATGCGCGCCGCAGTTTCGCTGCAGAATTCGACCGCAGAGGAGATTCAATGAGCTGCGCCTCCAACTCGAGCGTGCGGGCGCAATTGCACGTATAGCGCGCAAAGACGAGCGTAGGTGTGGCCTCATCCAAGTCAAAGACGATTGTTTTGCCCGCGTTATACTCGTGAAGTATCGGTAACTACCGCAATTGGGATGCGCCCGGTAAATACGGCAAGCAGCAGCAATACAGCAGCAATCGAGATAAATCTGCGGGGCTCGCCCGACTCGCTATTGCGCTATTGCGCTCGAACTTGCTTGAGTGCGCAATTCCGCGGTAGACGCGGTAGCTTGCGCTCGTGCGCGACGACGCAGCGACGTAGAATAAACGGGGGAGGGGGGGGGGGCTCTGCTGATTCCCGGCGTTCAAGCGCGCGGCCGCGTATAATATTTTGTCTTTCACCAATCGCATTGTTGCATTAATCATTCCGCGTACTGCCTTAATCACTCGGCGTTGTTTGCATTGCAAATTTCTGTTTCCATTCCACTGCAATTTGCATGGCATTTTGCACTGTCGAAAAAGACGAATTTCCAAATGTCGTTATTATGCCGACCGTCGCGCAATTAGGAAACGTAATTCTGCGGCACACGAGTGCGGAGAGAGTGAGAGAGTGAGAGAGAGAGAGAGATACACACCAAACGCCGAATATATATTATACATGACATGAAACGCGAGCCGACTCGCGTCCTCTTCGAGGAATCGGAAGGATTTCGATTTCGACCGTGTCAGCCGATAGTGATCGTTTCTCATTGGGAACGTTGATCTGGAATATCGATCGCAATTTTTTACATACTCAACTCCACGGTCCGAATCGAATCGCAGTATGAACGTAAAATCGAGATTTCGACTCGGGGACGCGTCGAATTGATGATTGAAATGTAGCTCAAAGTTGGACAGAGAGAGAGAGAGAGAGAGAGAGAGAGAGAGAGAGAGAGAGAGAGAGAGAGAGAGAGAGAGAGAGAGAGAGAGAGAGAGAGATCAAAATGTTTCATCTGTTTACGTTCGCGGATATCCGCTCTCCGATCTTTTCAGTCAATCGCGTTCGATATTTAATCACGTACGTTGTTAAATTATCGTCCGGCCGGACGATTCCACATACGGAAAGGGTCAATCGAGCCGAATTCACGGCAAATCCGCGCGAGTCTCCGTAGCGAATCGGTCGCGCAGCTTTCCCGGCATATGTACTCAATTATCGATATATCGGCACGATAAGAATTCTAATCGCAATTCGAACGACGAACGAGCGTTTCCGCCGTTTCCGCGGAATTCGGCGAATCATTGAGCGTGACTGCGCCGGAAAAGCGGCTCCTCTCGCAGATAGGAGCCCGGCAATTCCCCGAGATTTCCCGACTCGATTTGAGAGATTATCATACAGGCTAGGCGTCTATTTATGCGGAACAAACGATGGTCCATGCGACGGACGTAGCCGGGTCGCTCTGATTGAAATGCGCCCGGTAATTTCCGGTTATTTGGCGCATACAGTTACGCCCGCGACGCGGTGCATTAGGCCGCCATGACGCCGGCAACGTTTGATACGGCGTGGAATGCGTATAGTTCCACCACGGTCCATTTCCATTCGCCGCCGCGTCCCGTATATCGATGTCGATCAACGTCGACGAAATCGTACGGAGGCTTACGCGATTACAGAGAGCTAATATTACGAGGCTTTTAATCGATCCCGCGCAAAGAGGACTAGAGGCAGTAAAGTGATTACCGCGAAAACCGGGCGGCGCGCGAGCGCGCGTTGCGCATGCGCGCACGCGCGTGCGTTTTTTCTGCGTTTCCGCCCAGATTTGATTTACTTGTGTATCGTAACTCGCGCAACTTGAAGCAACAGAACTTGTTTAAACACCGACTGTAATTCTCTCCCAGAGGCAGAAAGTTTCCGCTGTAATTTATCGTTTTTCTCTAGGATTTTTATTAATTCTTCCAACACCCCTTCTTCCTCTTTCTCTCTGTCTCTTTTCTACTGTAGGCCGGAGCGAGAGAGAGAGAGAGAGATATTTTGTTCCGGACGATGGTGACGAATAGGTAACCGAAAATTTAAACGGGAAAGACAAAGGCAAGATCGGCGGCGAGGAAAGAAAATATGTATAACCAAGGATCGATCGAGGAGCGGGGCTTTTTGTCTCTGGCTTGTCTGCGGGACGGGCTCGCGCTTGCTTTTGTCCGGACGTACCGACGGATAGATTTTGCGGAAATGTAAGATATGTAAGTCGAACGGAGAAATAATAAATCCTGGCTACGAGAGTAAGAAGGGGACTGTTAATTGTGACTGGTCGCACATATTCGCAACTGCCTTAATTATCTGCATCTTTTATCGGAGTCCCGTAATCCTGACAAATATAAACACGGACGGTTTGAAGGAAGAGGAGAAATCCCCGACACTACAGACTTTTTTTTTGGTAGCGATTTTGTGAATTTGTTGTCAAATTGTGAATTAGTATTATTAGCATAGCATTCTAATTATCAGCCACGTGATTTATCTCCGTTGCGTGATTTTTTCGCGCAACTTTGCTAGTGCGCCTTTGATAAATTTATGAAATTCGTCTGGAGAAATACACTACATATATTGGGTCTGGGAAAAAGTTCGTGTCATTTTGCTCGATAGATGGCGTCAATTGCAAATAACTTAGGAAACACAGATCGCAGCGACACCACTAAACGCTCGTTGGAAAGGTGACACTTCGAGCGTTACTTTGTTGAGTGTATAAACATCGAAATTGGTGCAGTGGTTGGAAAGTTGTTTGCGTTTGAAAATGGAGAAAAGTAATGAAAAATTGCGCTATATCTTGCAATATTATTACGACAAAGGTAAGAACGCTGCGCAGGCTTGTGAAAAAATTTGTGCTGTGTACGGTGAAGGTACTTCATCAATAACTGCTGCGCGGAAATGGTTCGTTCGCTTTCGTTCTGGTAATTTTGATGTGAAAGATGAGTCACGCTCTGGTCGTCCAATCGCTGAAAAAGCTGATGAAATTCTTGAAAATGTCCAGCAAGATAAGCATATCAGCAGTGTCGATATTGGTATGGAGCTAGGCATTGACCACAAAACTGTTCTGAACCATTTACACAAAGCTGGCTACAAAAAGAAGCGCGATGTATGGGTTCCTCATGAGTTGAGAGCGAAAAACATGATAGACCGAATTAACATCTGCGACGCGCTGCTGAAACGCAATGAAGTCGAGCCATTTCTGAAACGTGTCGTAACCGGTGATGAAAAATGGATCACGTACGACAATCGGAAGCGTCAAAGATCGTGGACAAGGGATGGTGAGCCGTCACAAGCGTTCGCGAAGCCAGGATTGACGCCGAAAAAGGTGATGCTGTGTGTGTGGTGGGACTGGAAGGGAATCGTTCACCATGAGCTACTTCCAGTTTGTCAGACGATTGATTCTCAACTCTACTGTGGACAACTAGAGAGATTACGCCAGGCAATTGAAAGAAAACGGCCCGAATTGAATAATAGGAAAGGTGTTGTCTTCCATCATGACTACGCCCGACCACACACTTCTTTGATGACCCGTCAAGAATTGCGAGAGCTTGGTTGGGAAGTTTTGATGCATCCACTGTATAATCCAGACATAGCACCCTCTGACTATCACTCGTTCCGATCTCTGCAGAACTCTCTCAATGGAATTAAGCTGGTTTCAAAAGAAGCCTGTGAAAACCACTTGATTCAGTTTTTCAACCAGAAACCACAGAAGTTCTTCACCGATGGCATCATGGCTCTACCCGAAAAATGGCGAAACATTGTCGATAATAACGGAGCATATTTAGTTTAAATAAATTCATTTTCACACTATAAGAAAACCAGTTGAATTTTACTAAAAAAACGCCACCAACTTTTTCCCAGACCCAATATATATATATATATATATATATAAAAATCCTGCTCTACATTGTTGAGCAAGACGTTTAATTAAAGTTACAGAAGGTAACGCTCCGTCTTATCGAAATTACTTACGTTAATGAGATCCAGCTTCTCGTCGTCCAACCTGCAACAGAAAAAGTAAAGGATGTACTTTTAGACGGCTGTAACGGAAGGTAACAATTTCTCGTCGGCGTTTCGTCGCTGACCGACGTCGAAATTCCGGCCGGAACGAACCGTAATAACATTAGAACTCGACAATGCGCAAGGTGACTCGCCGACGACGGAAAACCATGTTCGCCCGGATCGTGCCAAGCTACCAATTTCAAAAGTTCACGGTAAACTGGCGGCTGAAACTAATTTTCCAACTAATTTCCGAAATAGGAATCTCCCAAACGAGAAACCACTCCAGCGGATGACCGAGAAATTACGTTCGCGGCACGTGATACACGAGTTTAGATAAAATCGCTATTTCACACAGCTGTACGCACATTGTCTCACGTGAATCGCCGATCCTTCCACGAGGGAAGGATTTTTGTGTTACAACCGTAGTCTTGGGAGAGAGAGAGAGAGAGAGAGAGAGAGAGGACAAACACAGGCCACGCGATGTCGCTACCACGGCTAATAAAGCTGTATCTCTACGGTTTAATCAATCGTCTGACTGTTGCGTGTATACATGCCGTTGAACTTTCGCGCGATTTCGGGGGAGAACGATCGTCTCGCGCGCTCGCTCTCGAGGTCCGTCGCTTTCAGAGCGGATCCGTCCTCGACTACCCCTTGGCGCGTGGGCCGTTCGCATTAAACGCAGCCGATCAAAGTTCGACCCGCGAGTCCCGTTAATCAAGAGAGACTTTGGCGCGGGGCGAAATCAAAGTATACGCCGGGACGAACCTTCTCCTTAACTGCCTAATTCCTCGATTAACATTTTAATTACCCGGCGCACGAGGCGAAAGTTTCAGCGAGCTGCCCTAAGCTTCAACGAGGGAAGAAGATTAGAGTCTCGTTAGGGTGGCGCCAGTTCTCCCCTCCGCTCTCCCCAACTCCCCCGCCGGCCGCCCTCACATTTCATCCCCGAGACTAATTTGGCCTCAGCTCGGCCAGATACGCCTGAAGAAAATTATTCGTCGGCTTATTCGCCGGCGTCTATCTCCCGTCGTGCGGCAAACGCACCTGCGGAACGGGAAGGAGCGGGGGAGGGGAGGAGGGCGGTTGGCAAGCGGGGCGGTGTTAGACACCGCTGTGGACAAAGCGCGCAAAGGACTTTAATCTCGGTGAGGGGCAAAAAGGTACAGCGTGCGCGACGATACGCGATTTCGCGGTGAGTACTTTCGCGACGTGACGACGCCGACGGCGCGCTTTGTGCGAAACGCCAGAAGAGCTGACGAGCGGCAGTTTCCCGCACGCGCGACGCAGTGTGTTCTCGCGAGCGGCGAGCTCGCGTAGAATTTAGGCGATTAGAAACGTTGTAAGCTCCTTTTCTCCTCTTTGTCGACTTTGTCGCTTGAAACTGATTTCGCTCGCCGCCCGGCAAAAAGGAACGTCGCGCTACGCGCAAAAGTGCTCGTTAATAAGAGAAATCGCGGTCGCGCTACGGGGGTGCTTTCATTCCGGCGAGTTGAACTCTTAACATTACTTTATTCGTGGAAAATTCATAGGGTCGTGCGCAAGATGTACACGTGTATACGTGCGATATAAGAAGACGTATGCGCGTTTGGGGATTCGCGTGCCTGCAATATCTAAATGTGAACCTCGCCGATGAGATTACGATTTCCATTTCTGTTCTCGACGAGCGGCAAAACGCGAAACTGCATCCCCCCGGTGTGCGACGGCCGTCGGGCGTTGCGGGAGAATTACCATTCCACCGTGTTGCCACTTTTAATTATCGCGACACGCGATCGTTGACATCATTATGTCGTATCGCCGCGCACGACTCGTTGTCTCGATCGATTCGATTCTGTCCCGCCGTGTCACAAGTAATAGAACGCAAAGCGTAACGATGCTTCACGCTGTCGCGGCACTGTTATTTTTAATATGTCTCGCGAGGGGATGAGCGGCGGAAACGATTCGCCGTCTTGACGCAGAAACTTGCATTGTGGGAATAAATTTTCCGCATTGGCGGACGGCCACGTTCCTCACGAGAAGCGGGATCTCTGTAAATAGGATTTTTCGTCGGCACGACAACGGCGCGCGCGAGTCGTATATCATCGAGCAAGATGCCGGGGTAGGCGAGATTGCGGTCTGCTATAATGAAGGCGGCGCATGCGAAAAAAATTATGCGAGAGAGCAGATTAAGCCGGACTAGTCGGAAAAGTATATTCGCGGGCGCGCGCGCGCGCGCGCGCGCGCCGGCATGCTTAATTATCCTTTTCGGCGCGTGAATTTACGAGCGACCTTGTTCCAGGATAAGGTACAATCTGGAGAAAAAGCGAATGAGAAATAACAAGTGGAGCATACAAACGTTGAACGACCAAGGAGAACAGAATTATAGGAGCCGACAATCTTTACGTTTCACTAAACAGCATATTATCGCGGATAGCCGAATATCAACTTTTCACGAATCACAGAGACGCGTAAAATACAACCGACGCGCAATAAAAGCTCGCGTGCACACACACACTCACACACACACACGGACGCAACGGAGCTCGTCCGCGGCGAAAAATTTTATAACTAATGTAATCGCATAGTTCGGAAACAAGTTCGTTTTTAATCGCGCAGAATGCCACCGCCGTACTGCGGAACGGCGGAGCGCCGAGATTAAAACGACGATGTATAACGGTATAGCGCGGTGTCGCGCCGATAAAAACTGAAGATAAAAAGGGAGAAGAGAGAGAGAGAGAGAGAGAGGGGGGAGAAAGAGAGAAAAAGGAAAAACGACGAGAGAAGGCGAGAGATTTATCCGCGGCGCTGCGCCGCTCTCTATACTCACGGCATAACTCGCGCCGTGCTCGAAGCGCGAACCGTCTCCGATTCACCGAGCACGCCTCTCTCCTCGCCGTGTCTTTCGCTCTTGACTTTTTCGCATCGACCCTTTCCCGTTTCTGACCGCTCGTACCCTCCGCGCGTGCCCTTTTCTCGCTCGCGCCTCGAGCGTCCGCTTCGCCGGACTTTTTTGTTCCAAACACACCGCCGCGCCGCGCCGGCCTCTTACACGCGAGCGCGCGTAACACCCCGGCGCCGTTTTCATTTCGCTCGAGTGCGCAATTTGCAGTTTTGCTCGTAGGTGATTAAGATGCTTAATCTGTGTGTGTGCGCGCGCGCGCGCGCGCGAGAGAGAGAGAGAGAGAAAGAGACAGTGAATGGCCTACTACTCGCTCTCCGCGTCGAGTAGTCTCCGCGAGTTCTCTCCCTTCTGCCCTTTTCGCTTTGCTCCGCTCCGCCCCGTCTTCGGTCTTTTCTTATACCAGATACTTTCAGCTAATCCAACCCACCCCCTCGCTCCCTTTTCCTCTTTCATTCCGCCCGCCCGCCCGCCCGCCCCCCGCACCGGCGGTTCCATCGAACCCTTCCTACTTTTTATTCTCATTCGCTTCGCGTCGCGCTGCCGCTTCATTTACCCCCTCTTTTTTCCTTAATTTTTTTCTCCGCCATTTACCATATCGCTTTCTGCTCTCCCTTTGTATTCCCAACCTTCTCTCCGGCTGCCCTCCGCCCTCCCCCGCCCCTTTGCCACAAGCCGGTCTCGCGTCCCTTGTCCTCATTCTTTCACACGACCGCTCTTTTTCTTTCGTGTCATATCGCACTATTTCCTTTACATACACACTACAATTTCCTGTACACGCCAGACTGGCGTATCTTCCACATCTCTTTCAAGCTTCCATCTCTGTCGTCCACGTCGACGTTCGTGCGGGAGACTCGAAAATAAGAAGAAGACGGCGGAGAAATTTGAAGGCTTCCTTTTGCTCGCGTTTTCCGCGTTTTCGTATCAACATTTCCGTCGACGGCCACACAGGTCCGCCGCCATACAAGATACCTCGAATCTGCCGGCGACTCGTGCCACTTTCAACGAGACCTTGTCCACAGAATTCGTCCCGCCGCTTCCCGCGCTCTCATTCGCTCGTATTGTCTCATTAATTCCTCGATCGCTCGAGATTGCATCATTTGCAAACTACTCTCGATTGTCAAACAGCCGGAACATCTTATCGCGGGAAAAATTGACAGAAGCAGTCAGATTTGCATTACGATGCGAATAGTCTACTAAGAACCCTCCTCATCGCAGAATTGCGTTTGTAAAGGACAGCAATTCCGCGGACGAGACGCGGTCATTGCGTCGTCGTCGCGACGATTCCCCCTTCCCCTCGCGTGATCCCCTCTCACAAATCATGTGTATCTCTAAAACTGACGACGACGACGACGACGATGGTGCTCGGAAGTTCGCGCGGGAAAAAAGAAGCAGCCCGGACAAATGCGCCTGATTTAGCGAGTTGCCGGGCGCGCGGCAAAATCAAACGAGACACCACTCTCGCGTTTTAGTGGCCGCGCGCGAACAGCCCGTTGATTTAGGAGGGTTAGTTACGATCTCGAGTACTACTGCAGTAGCGCCGTGGTAATATCCCGTAGAATATGGAGGCGCCAGATAAATTTCAGTAGCAATTAGCGGCCGCCACGATAAAATCCATAATGTCGCACCGCCGCGGAGTCGCGCGCGCGCGCGCCACGTAAGCGCGAGAGCGTGTTAATTGAGTGCGAATCTAACTAACACTCCGACGATACGGCGCGCGCGGCGGAATTTTGAGAGCAGGCTTTTACGATTAATTATCGCGTCTAATTGCGCGACGGGTGTTAACGCCCGTTAACGCGAGTCAAGTCAATTATTGCAATTCGCTCTCTGCCGGGGAGAGCGGGAGGGGGGGGGGATAGGACGTGTGACGAACGATGGATGTTTCTCGCAGCGTGTGATCGGGCTGCGTCCACATCGCACGGCGCACATTTTAATTCGTATTTAGGAAAGCATATTTTTCACCGTCCATGTATCTTCCGTGTTAAAAAATTGACGGTACATTCGCGCCGCGTAAAAAGCGTGGCATGATAAATATTTAAATTAAAAATAAAATACGCCCTTCTCCTCTCTCTCTCTCTCTCTCTCTCTCTCTTTCTCTCCCTCTCTGTCGAATTTTGCGGATATTT